GAGTTGATACCCATAAGGACAGTATCTGGATGGCATATATGTATGGATTATCGCAAGTTGAACAAAGCCACAAAGAAGGATGGCAGGCTAGCAGGCTTCATCGATGGCGTAAATGTATCTCCCCTTCATCGATCAAATTCTAGACAGGCTGGCAGGTCAGGAGTATTACTGTTTTTTAGATGGCTACAGTGGCTATAATCATACTACAATCGCTCCTCAAGACCAGCAAAAGACGACTTTTACTTGTCCCTACGGAACGTTCGCTTTCAGGTGAATGCCATTTGGGTTGTGTAATGCCCCAGCAACGTTCCAGAGGTGCATGATGGCCATCTTTTCTGACCTGATGGAATCAGTAGTTGAGGTGTTTATGGATGATTTTTCAGTCTTTGGAAAGTCATTTGCAGAATGTTTGGATAATTTGAAGAGGGTGCTGCAAAGATGTGAAGAAACAAACTTAGTCCTGAATTGGGAGAAGTGTCACTTTATGGTACAAGAAGGAATTGTACTAGGGCACAGAGTCTCCAGAAAGGGCATAGAAGTGGACAAAGCAAAGATTGAAGCAATAGAGAAATTGCCCCCACCTGTGAATGTCAAGGGCATTCGCAGTTTCTTGGGGCACGCCAATTTCTATCGCAGTTTCATAAAGGACTTTTCAAAAATCTCTAAACCTCTTTGTTCTTTTCTTGAGATTGATAAAGAATTTAACTTCACATCTGACTATTTGTAGGCCTTTGATACACTGAAGTATGCTCTCACCCGTGCTCCGATAATGACAGCTCCAGACTGGAACCAGCCTTTTTAATTAATGTGCGATCTTAGCGCTATGCTGTGGGAGCAGTTCTCGCTCAACGCAGAGGGAAGCTACTGCATTCGATCTATTATGCCAGCAAAACTTTGATCGAGGCACATATTAACTACACCACCACGAAGAAAGAATTATTAGCAGTGGTGTTTGCCTTTGAAAAATTCAGAGCGTATATGTAGGGTCAAAGGTTATTGTTTACACGGACCATGCTGCTTTGAAATATTTACTGACGAAGAAGGATGCTAAAATAAGGCTTATCCGCTGGATTTTACTACTGTAAGAATTCGATATAGAGATTAAGGACAAGAAAGGAACAGAAATTTTGGTTGCTGACCCCTTGTCCAGGTTGCCTACTCTGGAATGCTCCAAGAATGAGACAGAAATTAGAGGGACCTTCTCAGATGATCAAGTATTGGCTATTAGAGTTCTGAATGAAGATGAAGAACCATGGATGGTTTGCAGATCTAGCTAACTATATTGCCAGTGGAATTCTACCAACGGACATGAACAAGCAACAGCTCAAAAGGTTTTTGTATGAGAGTAAGTTTTATTTGTAGGATGACTCATATCTCTATAGGATTGGCCAAGATAAAGTGATCAAAGAGTTGGAAATATTTCCAAGAGGTTAGAGATGCCTCTCACATACATCTTAGAGGTGGAGCTTTTTGATGTATGGGGCATGGACTTCATGAGACCATTCCCTCCATCCAGAAACCTCTTTATTTTATTGGCAGTCGATTATGTGTCAAAGTGGGTCGAAGTAGTGGCATGTGCCAATAGTGACGCCAAAGTGGTAGCAAAGTTTCTCCACAAGCAAATATTCACGTGATTTAGTACACCAAGAGCTGTGATCAGTGACGAGGGCTCCCACTTCATCAACAAAGCTATAGGATCTCTCCTTGCTAAGTATAAAATCAGACACAAAGTATCCACAGCTTACCACCCCTAGTCAAATGGGCAAGCTGAGATATCTAATAGAGAGATCAAGAGCATATTGGAAAAAGTGGTTAACACAAATCCAAGAGATTGAGCGATGAAGTTAGATGACGCCTTATGGGCTTATCGCACAGCATTCAAGACACCTCTGGGCACATCTCCTTACAAATTAGTTTTTGGGAAACCTTGCCATCTTCCATTGGAGCTGGAGCATAAGACCTTTTGGGCTGTGAAAAAGTTGAACTTGGATTATTCTACTGCTGGAGATGTTCGTTGCTTACAATTGCTAGAGCTTGAAGAATTATGTAGAGACGCGTATAAGAATGCGAAATTATACAATGAAAAGATGAAGCGCTGGCACGATGCGAAAATCAATCCTAGAATATTTGAGAAAGGGCAACAAGTGTTGCTTTTTAATTCGAGACTCAAACTTTTTCCAAGGAAACTCAAATCGAGATGGTCAGGTCCATTTTTGGTCTCGCATATATTTCCCCATGGTGTACTTAAAGTACAAGAGATGGATTCGGGAAGAGAATTCACAGTGAACAGGCAAAGGCTCATCTTTATGGAGGAAGCGTGGTGAGAGATGTTGGAGCTCACCACTTCGTCACGGACTGAGAAACCAACAACGGAATAAAAGGAGCAGGATTTAATGATCAGTTGACTTATTGTTCCCCAGCTTTGAATTTAGAAATTTAGACGTTTAATTGTTTTTCTGCCATTTTGAATTTTGAATTTTAATTAGCTTTCATTTTGGTTTTTAGGGGGGAAATAATTACAAATCTGGTTGAACGGACAGCTTTCAAAATGGGCATGCAGTGAAAATGGCGTGACGTCGCTGACACGAAAGGATAGGGCAAGTGAGAGCGTCAGGACGTGGCAGACATGTAGAAAGGTATTTAAAGCAAATTTCGGCTTCCAATGACAGGAGGTAAGTAAAATTTTCAAATTTTTTGGAATAAATCAAAATTGCTAGAGATTTGAGGGGATTTTATTTTTCGTTTTGGGGGGAAAATTGTATTTCTATTAATTGAAGAAAATCGTGGGGAGATATTATCTTTAATGGGCCACAACAGATTTCTGTTTTCCTTTAAGACCCACGTCTTCCTCTTTCTTCTCTCCCCACTCTGCGCCATAACCGCACCTCCCCCTCTCTTTTTAAATTCCCAAAACCCTCTTCTTCTTCTCAAACCCTAGATCAAAATACCTAGAATCAAGCACAGAGCGAATAGGAAGGGAGGAAGCTCGAGCTTTCGACAAGCTCTGGGTCGAGTGGGAACCTCAAGGAAGCTGCTGAAACCATCCCGCCGGAGGAGAATGAGGAGCAGAGTCCCTCCAGCTCAAAGCACACTCCGGCCAAAGCTGCGATACCACCTCCGNAAGAACCATGGTTTGCAGATCTAGCCAACTATATTGCTAGTGGAATTCTGCCAGCGGACATGAACAAGCAACAGCTGAAAAGGTTTTTGTATGAGAGTAAKTTTTATTTRTGGATGACCCATATCTCTATAGGATTGGCCAAGATAAAGTGATCAGAAGATGCATCGCCAATGCWGAAGCRCGCCAGGTGCTAGCTAAATGTCATTCGGCACCATACAGTGGCCACTTTGGARGGCAGCGCACAGCAGCAAAAGTTTTCCAAAGCGGATAATTTTGGCCTACCATTTTCAAGGATGCGTATGAGYTAGTCCAACATTGCAATAAATGTCAAAGAGTTSGAAATATTTMCAAGTGGTCAGAGATGCCTCTCACATACATCTTAGAGGTGGAGCTTTTTGATGTATAGGGCATGGACTTCATGGGACCATTCCSTCCATCCAATGGAAACCTCTTCATTTTATTGGCAGTCAATTACGTATCAAAATGGTTCGAGGCAGTGGCATGWGCCAACAGYGATGCCAAAGTGGTAGCAAAGTTTCTCYACAAGCAAATATTCAMGAGATTTGGTWYACCCATAGCTRTGATCAGTGACGAAGGCTCCCACTTCATCAACAAAGCTATAGCATCTCTCCTTGCTAAGTATAACATCAGACACAAAGTATCCACAGCTTATCACCCCCAGTCAAATGGGCAAACTGAGATATCTAATAGAGAGATCAAGAGCATATTGGAAAAAGTTGTTARCACAAATAGAAGAGATTGGGCAATGAAGTTGGATGATGCGTTGTGGGCTTATCGCGCAGCATTCAAGACGTCTCTGGGCACATCTCCATACAAATTAGTTTTTGGGAAACCTTGCCATCTCCCATTGGAGTTGGAACATAAGACCTTTTGGGCTGTGAAGAAGTTAAATCTGGATTATGCTGCATCAGGGAATGTTCGCCGCTTACAATTGCTAGAGCTCAAGGAATTTCACAGAGACGCATATGAGAATGCTAAATTATACAAAGAAAAGACGAAGCGCTGACACGATGTGAGAATCAATCCTAGAAAGTTTGAAAAGGGGCAACAAGTGTTGTTTTTCAATTCAAGACTCAAACTTTTCTCAGGGAAGCTCAAACCGAGATGGTCAGGCCCATTTTTGGTCTCGCATGTATTTCCCTATGGAGCAGTTAAAGTACAAGAGATGGATTCARGAAGAGAATTTACCGTGAACGAGCAGAGGTTGAAGCATTTTTTTGGCGGAAGCGTGGTGAGAGATGCTAGAGCTCACCACTTCGCCGCAGACTGAGAAACCAACAACGGAATAAAGGGAGCAAGATTTAATGATCAATTGTTTTATTGCTCCCTAGTTTTGAATTTGAAATTTAGATGTTTAATTGTTTTATCTGCCTTTTTGAATTTTAATCTGCTTTCATTTTGGTTTTTAGGGGGGGAAGTAATTAAAAATCATGTTGAGTGGATAACCTTCGAAAAAGGGCATGCAGTGATGACGACGTGACGTCGCTGACACGAAAGGACAGGGCAGGTGAGAGCGTCAGGGCGTGGCAGACATGCACAAAGGTATTTATAGCAAATTTCGGCTTCCAAGGAGAGAGGTAAGTAAAATTTTCAAATTTTTGGGAATAAATCATAACTGCTAGAGATTTGAGGGGATTTTATTTTTTCGTTTAGGRGGCAAAATTTTATTTCCATTAATTGGAAGAAAATCGTGGGGAGATAGTTTCTTTAATGGGCCACAACAACTTTCTGTTTTTAATTTTTTCCTTAAGACCCACGTCTCCCTCATTCTCTCTCCCCACTCTACGCCATAACCGTACCTCCCCTTCTCCTTTTAAGTTCCCAAAGCCCTCTTCTTCTTCCCAAACACTAATCCAAAATGCCTAGAATCAAGCACAGAGCGAATAGGAAGAGAACGCTGAAGCTCGAGCTTTCGGCAAGCTCTGGGTCGAATGGCGACTTCAAGGAGGCTGCTGAAACCATCCCGTCGGAGGCGATTGAGGAGCAGAGTCCCACCAGCTCAGAGCACACACCGACCGAAGCTGAGATTCTGCCACCGCCTCCCCCTGTCGCCAGCCCTCAAGTAAACGTCACTGACCCGACTGTCTTTTCTTCCTAAGTCCAGCCTGATAAACCCTTGACCGCCAGAGAAGACCTATAAAAGCTCACGGCCACGCCTCCTCTCACTCAAAACCCTCCCACCATTACTGATAATCCACCCCCTCCGGCCACCCTTCCACAAACTCCACAACCTACAACCACCCCTCCTTCAACTACCAACATCCCTCCACCCATCCTCGTCAAAGAAATGCATCCGCCTATCCCCTCCAAATCCTTACCCACTGATGGACCAACCTCGTGAACGCAAAAGACCAAACGGCCGGCCCAATCTGTCCTTAGCCCTAGCCCAACCAAAAAGATTAAAACACCAAAAGTGCCTCAACCGCCTCCTGCTAAAGCTAAAGCCACAAAATTCGCCTCTGTGTCTGAAAGGAAGCGTCGCTCCCGGATGGTCGCTATTCCCCAGCTTCCTCCAACACCAAGCTCTTCAACCGAGCTCCTCCAAGCGTATCACGGTGGTCCCTACGGGCCAGGCAGCATTCTAGAAGTTCGTTGATCTGGAGGCAAGGGCGAGCTATCTAGTGATCAAGGCAAGAGACTTGTACCTACAGAAAACGATTTTTGGAGGCAGAGATGCCCTAGTTTGTGAAGGAGGAAGCCGCACGGTTAAAGTGGGAGCATTTTTGTGCTCCCCCTATGCCTGTTTTGCTGGAGTTCGTGAGGGAATTCTACGCAAACTTTGACCCTAACAGAATGGGACACACCACAGTGCAGGTGGAAACTGACTGGATGCCGGAGAGGATCAACAAACTGCTTAAGCTGCCCAACAATCCATATGCTGAATTCAACRCGATAATTCAGAAGCCCTCAATGTGAGAGCTTGAAACTGCCCTACATCTGGTAGGCATTGAGGGTGCTGTATGGCAAGTGACGGACAAGGGTGCCCGCTCGCTGAAATCTGGCCAATTTACGAGGGAAGCCAACGTTTGGCTCTACTTCGTTAAGAGTCGGGTCATGCCTACCATGCATGATTCATCTGTTACGAAGGACAGAGTCCTTCTGTTGGCCTGAATTTTACAAGGTCACGCCATAGACGTTGGACAGCTCATCCACCGGGAGATCGCTTAGTTATTTCCGAAACATTGTTCCCCCCATATTATTTTCGAATTTTTTAATTAGGTTTTAATTTCTACATTTTCAATTTATGCATTTAAATTTCT